TAGATCCCTTTGTTTATAGGATGTTAACTATATAAAAATAAGAGGCTAGCCCCAAAGTGCAGCAGGTTCATGTAACCCCTGCACTAAAAGACAAAATACCGGTGAATAAAGAAAAGAATTTACCAGGTTAACACTAAGGACAGAGTAGACCTGAGTCCATAACAGTCTCTTCATTACTAGACAAAACACAAAGCCTACACATAGTAGGGGAAACCAAAAGGCAAGTTACTGAGGAGGCTTATGTCTGCAGGCTCAGGGGGAGATGTGATAATGTCAGGGGACAATGGGGAGCAGTTGCCCTTCTGGGCAAGCATGGCATGGCAGGGCAGGAAGGGAGATGGTTTCTATTTTTTAAAAGTAGCTTAAAGATAACTGATAAAAATCTTGGCTGGTCATATAAGGGGGGCTGGTGGTATCTTTCCCTTCCCTGTCTCCATAGTGAGACCAGATTTCTGACTCTTCTTCCTAGACTAAGATGCTTCCCAAAGGTCCTGGATTAATCTGGCTGTAACAGACTGCTTTGGTTCTTGAACATGGGCAGCTTCTTAAGTCCTGAACCTGGCATCACACCACCAGATAAATAGCAAAACTTTATTATCTACATTTATGTTTAATTCAGACATTCTTTTCTACTGATTTCAAGTCTCTTTTAGACAAAGACCTATTTAACCAATTACTAACCTAAGGATTTTGGGGCCAGGCCAATTAAGAGACTGCTTATGCTGATTCACAATTTTGTATTTCCTGCTCTCAGAACTGAAGCAAAGAACTGCTGTATCTGACCACCCTGGGAAAGCGTTTTCGTGTTTCTCTGGGCCTGGGTCACTCAAAGCCAAGTTAATATTTCAGTAGAGGTTGATTATTTTCATTATCAATAGCCAGGCATCTGTAAAGGCTCAGCAAGATGATTGTTATCTTCCATTAGCTAAACATTAGGCTCCATCTATTGTGAAAGGCATTTGTTAAGACTCAGTAAATTATTTGTCTTCCTCTCCCTCCAAGCTCCATCCTGAGCTGTTTCCTTTGGAGGGGTCTGCCCCGCTCTATGGGATCCTCCCTGCTCCCACACACATTGGATTTCTTTCCCCTAATCAGAGCTCAAGGTGGCAAAGACAAGTTTTGGTCCCTGAGCCTCCTGAATTGCCCTCCCATACCCAGCTTTTCCTACCTCCTAAAAAGGAGTGGCATGCCTGACTTACATGGAAAGGGGCATCTGTCCCTTGAAAGGTTTGAGTCATTGCCCGGAGAGGAGGGGCAGGACACCTTCCATCTTTTTTTGCAACATTTCTTGTTTTGCTCTGTCTTTTCCCTCCCAACCTTGGTTTTGTGCTACATTTCAGATTCCTATTTTGTGTTGAACTTGCTGCCTTTTTTCATATTGAAAAGATGACATTGGCCCAAGAGCCAAAAATAAATGGGAATTGAGAAAGAAACAAACAAAAAAAGACACAGTAAATGATAAAAGTTAAAGGTAGATTTTCCTAAGGTTTAATGATGGGGCCATGCAGACAACACAAGCTGGTAAAGGGGCTGTCTCCCATGGCGTGGGCTGGGAAGAAACGGCAAGACAAGGCCAGCGGTTTACTAACTCTCCTTGTGTCGTTTTACTGGTCTGTAGTTAATTTCTCTGCCGTGAGTTTTACTGTTATTATGGTACCTTGCAAGAGTAAACTATAACCCCCAACCATTACAATAAAGCCAATTAGTGATCTTGTAGGAATGTAGTTCCCTAAGATGAGGGCCAGGAAGTGAGACTCTCCCACCTGCCTATTTTAAGCCAAAATCAACATTTCTTAGGTCAAATTAGTATAAACCAAATTAGCATTAGAAGCATATGTAGACTAAGTTAGTTTAAGGCTAGTTTTATGTAAATACCCCTTGTTAAAGCTACAGGCCAAAGTTAGCTCTGCTAGGCAAAGGTCAGCACATTCACCCAGAGATAAAACAGAAGAACTCACTAACTGACAGAGTCAGCAAATAAAACAAAAACCCATGGTTTTTTCAAGAAAGGAAAAGCCTGACTGGTGACTGACAGGATGAACAAACCTGAGGGCTCCAGAGAAAGATTAACCACCTTAGCTGGGAGCTCTTCTCTAAAGCAACAGGTAGCTTTCAACTACAGAGTTTCTCATCTATGTGCTGTTGACTATAAAAAACTGCTAATAAAACATCCTGTGTTGTCTCCTGAGCTACAAGATCATCTTCCTTTCCCATATAAGATCATAGACTCACCTTCTATTGTTGTAATGTATAGA